TCTCTTTCCTTCTGGCTCTCTCGCGAAAACCTTGTGTGTGTTCATCGGCTCCCACTTGTGCTACGTGCCCTCCCCATCACCTTGACTTGATTATTGGTGAGGAATACGAGTTAAGAAGCTCCTCATTGCGCATTTGTCTCCATCCTCCTGTTATTTCATCCTGTTAGGTCCAAATATTCACCTCAGCATTCTGTTCTCAATACCCTCACGCAGTCTGTGCCTCCCTTAATGTCGGAGACAAAGTCTCACACCTGTACAGAACCACAGGCAAAATTACAGTTCTCAATATTTTAATCGTTACAATTTTAGACAGAAGACGAGAAGTCAAAAAATTCTGAACTGAATTGTAGCAAGTATCCCTCGAATTTAACCCGCAGTTAATTTCCTTCTGAATCAAATTTTGATTTGTTACTGTCATTCCCAAATATTTTAATTCTGCCACATTTTCAAAGGATCTGTAAGCTGTCTTTTTGTCATGATTTTGCCCTGCATTCTGGTGATGAGACAGCAATATATACTTAGTTTTCTCTGTGTTTACTTCTTTACTTTTCTTTATGGTATCTATATTATCACCGAGTAGATTCAGAACATCTGTATAGACCAACAGCTGATGTGTTCCGTTTAATTTCAGTCCCACCTGGTTTCCCTGGACCTTCCTAATTGCTTATTCTAAGACAAAGTTGAAAACCAGGGGTGATAAAGCATCTCCTTGTTTTAGACCATTCTGGATAGGAAATTTATCAGACAAATGTTTACCTACACGGACTTTACTATACGTTTCGTTTAAACACATTTTAATCAACCTAACTAGTTTCATGGGTATCCCAAATTCTATGAGAACAGTGTACAATACTTCCCTCCTAACTGAATCATAGGCTTTCTTGAAGTCTAAGAATAGATGATGTACTGTCTCATCGTACTCCTATTTTTTCTCCAATATCTGACGAATGCAAAAAAATCTTATCAGTAGTTGATCTGTTACGTCGAAACCCACACTGATGATCCCAAATAATTTCATTTATATATGGACCTAACCTTGAAAGAAGAATACTGGACAAAATTTTATATGAAGTTGATAGCAATGATATCCCCCGATAATTACTACAGTCAGTTTTATCACCCTTCTTGTGAACTGGTACAATGATAGACTCGTTCCACTGATCAGGCAATTTTTCCATTATTATTATTATTATTACGTCCCTTTTCATGCTGCTTCACAAGTGAGCGCCTCCTTTCTTTTGTTCGTTTGTGATCGGACGAAGTAAGTTGGCTTCTCATTAAGTTTGCTCGTCACCACATGTCTGCTGACGGGACTCCAGTTGGATCATGTGCACCCTTTTCGTACACACGTGTGGTGATGAAGCGCTATCGAGAAGGTTCCGTTTCTTGGTATCGCCGCTACTGCAGAAAACCACTCAGTATGAACATGTCGCCCAGAAATCGGGTAAGGTGTGAAGATGTCGGAACGCCACGACACTCAGTTTGCATTGGTGCGAGGGGCATTGTGATGTGGGTCTGCATGAATCTCCGTGCAGCACACGGAGTTACTATGCACACAGTTAACAAAAATGTCAGACCCCAGAAGCAGCAGTAGGAACACCCCCTCAGCTGGTTTGTTACCAACCACCCTCTGGATCAATACCTGCCACGTGCAGCTCCAAAACACACCCCCACCCCTAGCCGATCTGGACTGCGAAGCTACCCCCACTCAAGCAGTCCTTGGTCGGGGTTTTGCCGCAATGATGTTCATTGATAACACTTGACGGGGCCCGCTGTTGCTGACGATGCCATCCGAACCAACCTGTAAGCTGCGAAGATACTGAAGACTGGCGGAATTTGAAGCATTTGTATCTGCTATCTTGATTAATCAGCATTTCTGAGGGTCACGGTGACACCACAAAACACGTAGCAAACGAAACTTGCCACTTGTATGGACACGCCATTGTCTGGCTCTTTTCTGGATTAAATTTACAAGCAAGGAAATTGATTTCTGTATTTGTGTATGTATGTATGTAGCCTGGCAGAGCTGCGAGCCAGCCTGCAATGATGGCGGTACAATCGGATGAGCGCAACAGAGAAAACTGGTACAGTCCGTATCGCATGACAACCGAACCACAGATCTGGGCATTAAGATTTAAGTTGAAAACTGCTTTGCATAGGGCGGCTGTAGCATTCCTCCGTCCCACGAATTCTGAAAGCACTGAATTACGTGACTCGTTTGGCCTTGTAGTACTTTAATTTGAGGGTACCCGGCAGCGTAGTTGGTTCGGGCACTATGCTACAAGCCGGTATGTCGTGGGTTTGATTCCCGATGAGGTCATTGGATTTTTCAATTGACGTAAACCTTCCAGCCGCACTGTGGCCCTGGGGTCAACTCAACCTCTAAGAGAAATGGGTACCGTGATTCTTCCTGGGGTTAAAGGGCGGTCGGCGCGTGAGTTTCACCTCACCGCCATCTGTGAGCCGAGTGTCTAGAGAATGTGGGAGCCTCGACGTCTCGCAACCCTGTGGGCCTCCACGGCCGGTTACAGGGATAGCTGTATACGTTACTTTGAGACGGCAGATGGCGATTGCTGACTGCTGGAGGTCCATTAACCTTGATCCTAGTCCCACTAGTCAGTGGTTCGTTCCTTCATGACAGTGCAGTTATATTACAGTATCACTGTTGGCCTTACCTCCGAGCTCTGCCCTGATGCGAAGTGAGAGTCTGGAAACAGCTGAAAGGAAACTTAAGATTCCCTTGCATCACGGTCTTCTGTGTTGTGACGCCACGCAGTTCGGACTGGCTTACTCGAGGCGATATGTCTCTCCGAAACGTCGGGTACCCTTCATACACACCGCCGCCTAACTCAAACCCAGCGCAATGTAATCCCGTAATCTGTCTTTGTGCCCATTTCACCATCTACACTCGCGTCTTTGCGTAAGCCTTGCAGGGAGTAGATGCAACGGTTAAGGATTTAAGGATTTGAACATTTTACCGTTTTATTCTCAACTCATATTCTCGTTATTAATTTTTGTAATAGATAACATTGAGTTATTTAAAACCAACACTGATCTACATAGTATAAACATTAGAAGTAAAAACAATTTGAAGTTGCCACAAGCAAGGTTATCCAGCTATCAAAAAGGGGTTTATTATATGGGCATTAAGACTTACAATCTGCTTCCATCCTCATTAAAGGATCTAGTAAACAAGAAGAAACAGTTTAAATTAGCTTTAAAGAGATATCTTTTGGAGAAATCCTATTACTCACTACGGGAGTTATTTGATGGGTGAATGGGGTGATTTTCACCCCTTTGCATATTGAAGTCCTGTATAGAAGGCATACTAGGAAGTGGGATGTCTTATTACATTTTGTTGTATGCATTGTGGGCTGATTGGTGGGGCTGGTACATGTAGGACGGTTTACAGTACTATTGTTATGCATCATGATTCTGGGAATGTATTGTATAGACCAGTGGTTGGTATAACCAATTTGTTGGATGTGAAGTGTGGTCATAGGTTGTTTCTTTGGTATACTGTAGCTTTTAAGTGATGGTTGTGACACTTTCCTCAGGGTAATTAGTTTTTTGTTTTTTTTTTATACTTCATGTTAAAGTCATTGTTGAATACATATGTTACTGGTACTTTTAATTTATGGTTTTATCTTATTGTATTTAAATGAAATTTTAATAATGTGTGTACTGTATCATATATCGTTCTTATCGGGTATTTTGACTCTGTTCCAATGATTGGGAACTTAGACTAGTATTTACTTTGTGACACGTTCTATATCCAACAGTTTGTACTTTCAACTCATGTATGGATCAACTGAACTTGAAATAAATATGAATATGAATATGAACGGTAACGGCACTTCTCGCTCCACTTTGCATAGCTTTACGGGACCTTTCTTCCTTCCATAAAGTTCACAAAACAGACGAAACGTCTTCTTAACACTTATTCAGAAGTGTGTGGTTCAGGGATATGATGTCCTCGTTTTTATTCAGAGCTATGCGGCCGTTACGGGAGCCTTGCGCAACAGCAGTCTTCAATGCATTGTGGCTCCCCTTTCTAACATCTAGCCGTCTAGCAATCCTTCACTTCGGACGAAGCCTTCTCAGTGGGGCTTTATGGTAGTCACGTGGCTTCATAGAACTGTTTTAACCCATTAGCTTAATTTGACGGCTGCAACTGTTTTCCCCGTTCCAGTGTGTGTAGCTGTTTCGTTGACTGCGCTATGATACGTGGCCAGATGAAAGTTTAAAATAGTATACACAGTTGAAAATAGACGTGATGATAAAGTTGGCTTACCAATACGACAGCTTCTGCGGATTTATTTTGAAATCTGGATTTAATTTATTTAGATGTTTTCAGCAGAGAAAACTGAATAGTAGGCCAGTAGGTTAAGACGTGGGTTTTGAAATTTGGGGTCCCAATCTGTAACTCAGGGGTCCCCCACCTACGTAATGGGAGCCGCTGGAGTTCTCAAGAATTACGTGAAACAGGATAAATAGTCCATGCAGACACCGAGAAGCATAAACGTAGCTGCACTTCTCAGGCAGTCCCAGTACATCAGTAGCATTAATCGTGGGGTTCGCGATGCCTGGAGTCTGATGTGATATGCAGAATGTGAGAGTGCCGGCGAGATTTAGATGCAGGACACCACTGAGGAAGTTGAGAGAGCTTAAAACCTGAACACACTAGAAAGGAAGCGTTAAATTGCGGAAACAAGCATGAAGTGACATGTTTTGCAATAATTCCACTGTTCTTTAACCCTTTAAAGACCGAATTTCGTCCAAATAATACATAAGAGTTCAGTTTGCACCTCACAGGAAACACATTATGTCTCCGCTACAAAGCCGAACCAGATAATGCTGTTTATTGTGAGAATGACACGGAACCCACAAGTACACTGCGTGGTCAGAATGCGGAGTTATTATATGTTAAGACAAGTGGTACATATAGTGACCACTGGGTTTGTAAAGGTTAACATCGGTATTTTCTCTGTTGTGCGCAGGCAAGCCGGATGGTGTTCCAGTGTACATGGCCAGGTTGCCTTGTTATCACCACGACATGCGCCGCCATTGAGGGTCACGTTCGAAAGATGCATCTTGGGTAAGTTGTGGCCAAAACATCGGTCGCTGATTTTTTTTTTCACCCGTCGGCATAGCGCAGCGGCAAGAAAAAGTCATCGTCACCAGGAGCCCGCATGAACACAAAACTGAACTTGGTTGTGTTCAAGGCTGGCAGGAATTTTTAAGACATATCCCCTAATCTAGAATTAAATTGTTTCCTGTAAAAGGATGATTATCCACGCTTTATTGTTTACAAAGAGTCTTCACAATTTAAAGGGAATAGCCAGTTCCTTGTAAATTATGGAGGCCGCTGATAATGTTGAACTTTCAATATATATGGACAAATACCGTCTTAAGTGCAACAATTTTATTGTAGTTTTTACTTCTTTTTCCTCCTCCACACTACATGTTTCGGCCCTAAATGGCCATCATCAGGTGTGTATCACTCACGTAACTGTTACACTGCTTGTTAAAAATGTAAAAATCCCAGTCTTTCTAATTGTATAAAATCTTTGTTAATCTACACGCGTCGATTTGATTTTTAAATTAGCACTTTTTAAACCTTAATTCAAGTTAAAATGTCTATAAGATCTTTGTTCTCTTTCTTTTTCAAATTAAAATTTTTCAGGGTACATGCCCTATATCTACGGTGCTGCAGCGGCCACTTCTTGTTTTTATCGCTGTTCATGTGTTGTNTAGTGTGGAGGAGGAAAAAGAAGTAAAAACTACAATAAAATTGTTGCACTTAAGACGGTATTTGTCCATATATATTGTGTGAGTGTAACAGGATGCTGAAATATAATATTGAACTTTCACTCTGCCTGTGTGTAGGGAGGTGTGATGGTGCTTAGGTCCCGCGCACATTTGACGTTTACCCACTTACTTTGCAACATTTGGCATGCGTAATTCTGAGTGACGTTCCATTCAAGATTCGTCTTGGTTAAGGAAAGGTCTCATGCAGTTCCAACTTTTATTGTTCCTCTGCTTCTGACAAACCAAAGTAAGATTCGGATCTCCATATCAGCTGTCTCCACTGACATATGTCAAGCCCACCGAGCAGAGTCGTGAGTCCTGCGAGACTCGGAACCAAGAATGTGCTGACGAGGACCAGCAGTAGTCTACCACACAGACTCTTAAGATGAACGTTGAAATGAGACTGAACCAAGTAAGGGCCACCTCTAGACTTCATTCCTTAAGTGCTTAAAGAACGGACATATTTCAGTAAAATAAATTAAATGGATGATAAATTAACTGAAAATTATGCAACTAATATTGAATTTCGTAGTCAGTACTGCCTTGTTCGCAGTGCTGACACTACTTGTTCAGTATTTCTGTAAGCGAAAGTTGGTACGTATTGACCCTCAAAATGGGTTTGCCATATTCATAATACAGTCGAGGTGCTATTCATTGTATGTGTGCTATTTAAATGTTCATTTCTAGACACTATGTATACTCATGTTAAATTTTAACTGTCTAATCATATGACATAACTGTCAAAAATTATTATACAGTAAACCCTCGCTAATCCGGAGTAATTGGGGGGAGGTCACCCCGGATTAGTGGAGCAAAGTGTAGCCCGAAAAGACAAAAAACTTAGAACACAAATAAATGGAAAATCTATTTATATAAATAGTGCTGATGGAAATAAATAAAAAATATAACAGTAGAGCCTTTATTTAAAAACTATAGAAAGGCAGTCCATATATTTATCGATAGAGAAGTGTACTTGTTTCTGAACGTAAAATGTAGATTTGTAGAACCTGTGAAGTTTTGTCTGAACAGACAAGTGACTTATCTGCTTTCCTAAATGCCACGTGTCATTTAAAGTATACTGAACTGTGAACAGAATTTTTCATTTTTCATATTTCATATTTAAATTATAATCACTGAATTTCCTGGACGGTCTTTGGAAAGCCACAAAAATCCTTAGTCAAGATAGTTGGTACCTCAGACAAGATTCAAACTGGGCTCCCAAATATAAGTCACAAGTAGTACTGCTTTTGCTGTTTTGTTTAGTTTTGAAGAGGCCCCGGTATGTGTATGTTAATAGGTCTCTGAAATGTGCGCAATGTTCGAGTGAACAACGGCGGTGGATACGGAAATTGCCTTTACTGTTGGTTTGTTGGTGATACCGAGGTAAAGGATTCCTAGCTAAACAGATGCTATTTTTGCAGCTCACAAAAATCAACATAACATTGAAGTTATTATTTATGTATAGAGTTTCATGTCACCTAAAAATACATATTTCCAGCTTTTGATTTTGTAAATAAATATTTTGGGACAGAAAATTGAACAATATGTGTCTTTGAAAATGGAGAAATGATTATTTCACACATCTGACAGCATGTTTAACAGAAGGTTGAGATAAGCTACACAGGTCCAAGGATGTGTTCAGTCTTTGTTACACATGTAGAGAATCCGGTGTTGCACAACAACCACAACATTTATGTGCAAGAAGGCATATTGCTGTTGTTGGCTTAAGAACTGAGCCACATAGGCAGTGTATGATTGGTGAGTATAGTGCCACAGGTTGTTCCACAGAACTTTCCAAATTTTTCCACTTTTGCACCACATCTGCGCAAAGGAAGAACAGTCTATATATGGACAAATACCGTCTTAAGTGCAACAATTTTATTGTAGTTTTTACTTCTTTTTCCTCCTCCACACTACATGTTTCGGCCCTAAATGGCCATCATCAGATGTGTATCACTCACGTAGCTGTTACACTGCTTGTTAAAATTTAAAATCACCAGTCTTTCTAATTGTATAAAATCTTTGTTAATCTACACGCGTCGATTTGATTTTAAATTAGCACTTTTTAAAACTTTAATTCAAGTTAAAATGTCTATAAGATCTCTGTTCTTTCTTTTTCAAATTTTTTAGTTAAAATTTTTTTCAGGGTACATGCCCTATATCTACGGTGCTGCAGCGGCCTCTTCTTGTTTTTATCGTTGTTCATGTGTTGTTCAGTGTACTATGTACACCACAGACAGCAAACGTATTAAAGATAAGCAGCAACACACACAGAGAGCGCCTACACTGAACAACACATGAACAACGATAAAAACAAGAAGAGGCCGCTGCAGCACCGTAGATATAGGGCATGTACCCTGAAAAAAATTTTAACTAAAAAATTTGAAAAAGAAAGAACAGAGATCTTATAGACATTTTAACTTGAATTAAAGTTTTAAAAAGTGCTAATTTAAAATCAAATCGACGCGTGTAGATTAACAAAGATTTTATACAATTAGAAAGACTGGTGATTTTAAATTTTAACAAGCAGTGTAACAGCTACGTGAGTGATACACACCTGATGATGGCCATTTAGGGCCGAAACATGTAGTGTGGAGGAGGAAAAAGAAGTAAAAACTACAATAAAATTGTTGCACTTAAGAGGGTATTTGTCCATATATATTGTGTGAGTGTAACAGGATGCTGAAATATAATATTATTAAGAACAGTCTACCTTAGTGCTATGAAGAAACACTCAAGAGTTTATGTACTCTGTGGGAAAGAAAATGTTTGGACATCCATAGAAGAAACAACCTGTGCAAATGGAAGAAGGATTGCAGTGATGTTATTGGGGTTTTGAAAAATGATTCACCACTGTCAGAGAAATCCTTCCATCTGTGATGCAAGGAAGTGACTGTCTGCAGTGACGCACGTGACAATAGCATGCATTGCCGCTGAAGCTGCGCGGACCCTCTGGCCAGGTGGTGACATATGACAGCGTGGTGTTGCTAGTTACAGATGCCTGCAAAAGGCAGCAGAAGCTACACTAAATGATACATGAACCTTTATCTCTAGAAAATGTTTCTGCAGAGAACTGAATATGAGTGTAGAAGGTATTTTCTCCTCATTTTTATCACTGGAATAAGATACTTAAAATTATAAAGAAACCTTCAACTACTGCACTGAATTTCTTTGCTGTTTCAGTCCCCGCAAAACAACAGAGAATGATTTGGAGTTGAGTGATCATGAAGAAGAATTCTATTATACAGAAGTGGAGCTGGGCCTCCACACATCTTCACCACCGACGCTGTCACATCGAGACATGGCAAGACCACCACATGAAGGTAACGCCATGTTAAGCAGCGTGCACAGCATATCACAAAAAGGCATGTTTCACATGATGTTGACTGATGTTCAATGCTCATTTTCTTTAAAATAAGACGTTGTAGGAAGCAGAAATTACGTGATGTAGTGTGATATTAATATCATACTATTATCCGAAGTCTGTCTAATCGACTCCCTGTTTTTGGAGACACATCTAAAAATGTATTCCTCCTCCTACTCCTATCATCATCATCATCATCATCATCATCATCACCGTCGTCGTCAAGGTTATAAGCCACTGGTTTTTTCTGATTTCAAGAGAATATGTCATACCATCTAGCTATGGGTTGTTCAGTTTGCCTTTATGCAAACTTTTGGTTTTATTTTTTCAAATTTAAACAAATTTTAATATGCTTGGTAACTTTTGCTAAGAATTCTGAATATCATATTTCATTTTAAGAAATTGGCTCTAGCAGAGCAAAACCAATACATGCATGTGGACAGACAGGGACAGGACAGATTATATTCAGTTGTGCATTGTGCAGATGCTACATTGTTCATTCTCCCATGTTTAGGGTATGTGTGACATGCACACTCCTGAAACTGGACCTATTTCCACCATCACATGCATTTAACCCTTCGATTTCCAAGCCTTGCCATAGAACCCCTTACCAGAAAGGCCAAGGCCGCATAGGAGTAAATGTAGTCACATAGAAAATCCCAAAATACTTTCTTAAATCACCAAACAACCACAGAGGTAGACCAAATCAAAGCCTGGTCTTTCTTCTATACCTTAGTATGTTACTCTTGATGCCCTCTCTTGGTATAGATGCCACTCTGATTGATTAACAATGGCCAGTTTCTTCAGCTGCAGTAGTCTTAATGCAAGTATCCCAAGCTGATTTGCTTGTAGTGTCCAAAGAATTGGAGGAGGGGGGGGATCCTCTGCTAAAAGAGTGAAGGAACTGTTGAAGTTAAACAGGAACCAGCTACAATGGGTGGTGGGACTACTTACAGGACACTGTAATTTTAAAGAACACCTCTTCAAACTGGGACTAAGTAATAGTCCAACTTGTGAGAGGTGTCAAGAAGAAAATGAAACAGCCACACATATTCTGTGCGAATGTGAGGCCTTAGCTTATTTAAGATTATGTCACTTGGGTCAATACTTTATGGAACCAAGTGACTATCTCGATGCCCCCAGGTACAGCACAGGATTGCTGAAGGGATAATGAAACGGGGAGCACAATAGATCACTGTAAGTCGCAGTGCAAGGGCCGAGAAGTCCCACCCCTTATACATTCTTACATTCATTCATTCATTCATTCATTCATTCATTCAAGTATCCCAAGCTGATTGGCTTGTAGTATCCAAAGAATTGGGGGGGGGGGGACCATGNGAAAGAGATAGTTTCCATCATTAGCAACTAGGTCTTTCAGATGGACCTAACTGAGTAGAATCCTTTCCTCCTATACACTTGCTGATGGGAACAGATCTTTCTGAAAAATTGTGTGAAGTATGTCCCAGATAAGGAACATTGTCCAACATGATCATCATATGACGAATGAACCATTGTCCCAAATCTTCAGAGAATTGTCACTTGTGCATTATTGTGGCCCATTCTGCTCTTTGGTTTCAGCTACATATGGAACTAATACATCGGCATATTCTTAGTGTTACAAAAGAGACCTCAACGCTTCCTCACATTAGTGCTGACTTGATGGAATTAAGAAAATCTATTCACATGCACATGAATTACCGCACCCTATGAATAATTTGTGAGCTGTTCATTACTGTAAGCCACCTTGAGATCATGTTTCGGTGAATCTTGTAATTTCAGATCCTGAGTACCTGAAGGAACTGAAGAATGGCTTCACACCTGGACACCAGAGAGCAGGTCCTATCAACATTCCATCAGGAAGTTTGCCTTGGTCATCAGCAGCCACTGCTACATCTCCAGTGAGTCTGGTTGGTTCACTGCTGCATGATCAGATCCTAACATGTCAGCATTTAGCTAAAATGTAAAATATGTGGTGGAGTGGGGGTGGCATCATTTGCTTCTGCATTTTAACCCTTGTAACTGTCACATGAAACACCTGAAAGCCTTCTGTTAATGGCTATCCATTTTGACATTCACTGTTAGCTCACATATGGCAGTGAGGTTGTCAGCCTTACATGCCAACCACCCTTTACCACCAGGAAGATTCTTGGCACTCATTTCTGTTAGAGGCTGAGTCAACCTCAGGGTCATAGTGCAGCTGGAAGGATTAGGTCAATTGAAATCCAGTGACATCAGGAATTTAATCTGGTTTGTAGCATAGCGCCTCAACCAACTTTGCTACTTTTTTTTAATCGTTTCTTGCATCCTGTTGTGTGTTTAATCAATAGTAGAGTGAATTTACCGACTACACAACACGTTTTTATTATCACATATCACTAAATGTTTTGACCTCAAGAGGTCATCCTCAGGTGTATGAATACGGCTGTATAATTACACGTGGTCACATTCACTTTTTCCTCATTCAACCTTGTATCTTTTCCAGACTTAGCTCACTAATATATCGAGTTCTTTTTATAAAACACAGGTTAAAATTATTATTATTACTCTAATTTAATTGTTAAAAGTTAAAAGTTCATGAATCGAAGTTCAATTCATGTCACTGGTTACACTTTCACTTGTTTTTCATTCTCATTTTTTACTTACACTCACTACTGTATCTAGTTCTTTTAAACTAGTTAATTATTATTATTGTTAAAAGTTCGTGGATTAAAGTTCAACTTATGTTATTGGTTACACTTTCACTTGTTTGTGAGGTCTCACTGTTCTACCACATTCTTTGATGTGGCTGGATCTGTTATGATTGTTGTGGTGTCATTCTACAGTTTAGAATAAGAACAAGACATAATCTTTCAGTACTGGCTTAAACTTTTTATATCATGATTTGAACTTTTGTTCTTAGATGGAAGAGTACTGAAAAACTTTCTGATAACTATTGAAATTAGCATTTGGCAAAACTTTTCAGGTGTTCAGAAAGGAATGTCTGAATAGGAATGTGTGTGTTTATTGTTTCTTCATCAGTTCATAACCATTATGCCATGTAAGCACTCCTTGTGCCTGCCCTATTTTCCTGTAGAAAATGCTAGAAGATTTATCAGTAGTGGATAGTTTGATATGTGATGGAGGAATGGACGTTGTTTATGAAGTTTTATGTTTAAATGAATTGTATTATCTGATAATCACCTGATCAAGAGCTGAAATGAAAGTCATATTATTATCTTCAGGGGTTCTAGTGCCATGCAAGGCTGGTAGTTGGGTACCAGTGTTTCTCTAAACCTTTGGTTGCCACCCACCTACCAGCCTTCACTGAGTCATAACCCAGAAGTCCACCGCATGAACGTTGACCACTGTGAAAACATCAGATATGTAAATGTGATTATCATTTTCTTCAGTTTTGCACATACAAAAGACAATTCCCTTCTGACAGTAGAGTATTTGAGTTTATTTTGAACATTGTCCTGTCTATTAATAGCTTAACCTTTCAAAGTAGAGTGACTGATATGTGTACCATGGGCTGTGACAGAAATACACTCTGCATTTTGCCCACATAGTGTATTTGTGAGTTTCATAGGATAAACAATAATTATATCCCTAACATCATTAACCAGCTGGTTTTTGTAAATGGGATTTCTCTGAAGTATGAACTAAATTTTTAAATACATTTCACAAGAATTTCAGGCTTTAGGAGATTAAAACTCAAGTTTGAGAGTCTAATGTAAAGAGGTTTGCTGTATAGTATAAGATCTGAATCACAGAAATTTACTACAATTTCTATTAGAGGCTTAAAATCATGTTGTAATGTCTTTATTATAAAAATAAATCAAAGCCATGATGAAGTAAGTAGTATCAGAATGAACGTTATAATAACAGCAGAAATTATGCTGTGTTATGGTTCTGCCCCAGCTGTGTTTTGCTTTGTGGCTAAGTAGTTTGCTTTGTTTCCATCGTAGGATGGTGTCCATGGCAACTTCATGTTGGCCTGTTAACCTAGACAGTCCCAATTCTGAGGGGTTCTGATGATTGTGTATTGCAAGTAGTGTTACTAACATTCTGGATCATCTCCATCATTCCAAATTTGAAAATGGAGCATAATATTTGAGGATCTGGATGTTCTGCCATCATCAGGTTAAGGATACTCACGCAGTCACTCAGTCAGAGTCATTAAGAGTTAATCTTGTTCAGTGACCACTGAATTCACTAAAATAACACTGCATAAGCCACTCAGAGCCACTGGGAGACAATACACAGCAACACAGAGCATTGCCATAATTTTTATTGCATATTTGTTTGTTACGTCTCAGTAACAAGACTTGATCACCGTGACTTATACAGCTTTTATTTTTGCTTTACTTTGGAGTTGGCTCTTCCAAAATGATCCAATTGAGTAGGTCCCCTGACTGAGGATGGGAGCAGACTTAGGTCCCCAAATGTTCTGTTGTATCTTAGAAACCAAGTCCAGAAGGCTAGTAATACTGTGACAGTTGCAGTCTCCTTGCTCTTTGTTCCTTTCTTGTGGCACAGCAGGAAGTGACATGGGCTTTGTGTTTAACAGAGCTCACCTCAGAAACACCTGAAACTCAGCCCACGAACAGGCAGCGTGACACATCACCAGTCCAGTGGTAGCCAGCTGCTGTCACTGTCAGCACCCAACAAACTGCCTGGTAGTCCAACTAGAAAACTGCGAGGTGAAACAAAGAAGTGTCGCAAGGTATATGGAATGGAGCATCGAGAACTCTGGTGCACCCAGTGCAAATGGAAGAAGGCATGCACAAGATTTGGAGACTAGAGGGACTGCATCTCCATCATTGTCAAGTTGTGGCCAGAAACAACGGGCATTGTCAGACAGTTATGGATGAGTGTTGTTAACACTGTTACAGCTGAATTTCTCACAGCAGAGACAGTTAAGGGTACTACCCTCCGGGATGTGACACTGAGTAGTCTCGTAGGTTTCCAGTGTTTCATAGGAGCATACTGCCTCCATCTTCAGGATGGTACTGCAGGCCAAGCCAGCAACAAACAAGCAACAAGCATAGCAAACCAGTCTCGGAAGGCATAATATGGATACAGACCTGGTTGAGTACCCTGCAAGAACTAGCAGGGGTGCAAGACTCACTGTGTTTGCTGAAGCTTGCTGCTTGTTTTGCTCACACTTCAGCCCTGGAGACAGTGGCAGTTCATTTCACTGAAACATCAGTAAACTTGTACCAGAGTACATAGCATCACATCTGAGAAGATAGTAAGTATACATCATTGGTAACACTGCTTCCTGAGAAGCAAGTTCAGCAAGGAACCACTTTGAACAGAAGTGTGTATCCCATTTTGGTAGCTCTGATATATTTAAGTGTAAAGCAACACATGCATTGTGCGATTGCTACATAGCTGTTGGTAATGAAGACCCTTGCTAGTTAGTTGGTACATTTTGATTCTACAGTATGGCACACACCAGACTATCTCCCTGTCCCTTCCTTCAGTTGGTTATCTGCCTAGATCATGATTATTCATGGTACAGCTTGCAACATCATTAACTGATCATTCTGTGATGAGGATTCTCCTCGATTTCTGGGAATTAGCGAAGTCCTCAGAGCTATGAAGGCTTTCAATGGAAAGTATATTCACTCTTCTCTCCTTTGCCATTGCAGGCAGCAAATAAACAAGGACTGAAGTCTCACCCTAGCAGCTCCTTGGCCCATTCTCTAGTGACTTACATGGCCCCAAGCCCTTGTCTGGGGTAGGTGTCACATTTTGTTCTGCAATTCAGTGTGTGAAGCATGAACGTAAGTTGGGAATTTTTGAGAGCAAGGAATGAAGGAAAGTATTTAGACCCATGAGAGATGATGAAAATGGGAAGTGAAGTAAACGATGAGGGGAGGAATTTCAAAATTAGTACCCTTTTCCCAGAATTGTTGGATCAGTTAATTCAGGTGCATGCAGCACAGACTGGGGAACCAAACAGAATTCTGGAAGGGAAAATTCTTTGAGACTAGAAAGTTCAAGTACCAAGGTAGAACTGAGAATGTAATATTAAAATCAATCTTAGGATAGGTGTTGTGGAGGTGTGAATTCCATTGGACTGACTCAGGACAAGAGGGTTGGTTTCTGTGTTGATGGTGTGAGTCAGTGTAACATAATAGCATATTAGGGATCAAAGGAAAATGCATGAACTATGGCCACTTAACTGTATGAAATCAATAATAGCCTGAATACAAATTTTAAATTTTACTCTCAGTTCATTTAATTCTGTTACTGTCATATGCTACCATCTTCATTCTTTGACAATGATACATTTAATTCATAATTCTAAGAAGTGGTTACAGATTACATTGGTGATCTAAAATAACTTTAAAAATACTGGACTAGATTGGTTGCAACTGCTGTATCTCTAATTTCAGGACTGTGCCCAGATTAGGAAGATTTGCACTTCCAGTATCAGATGCCTTTCTATGTTGGACAAGTTCTTACTTGACAGAATAACAGAACTTGTGTATGTAAGTTGTGGTTTTCAGCTTCTGTACTTGACAAAGATATGAAAATGGAAGAACACAGGGGCTCCTTTTCTGAAAATTTTCTTTGGTTTATGTTTGTTATAAAGTCCTAAAAATTGTCAGAACATGAGGAGATACAACAGTGTTTACTGTAACAGGAATATATGAGCCCATGACTAACAAAATATATGCCACTCAAGTAGTATCATATGTCTGTAACATTAAAATTATCTGCTAAAAGCAATATTAAATGTAGGGTAAAAATACCAGTAAATGCAGCTTTGTGTAGGTTTTATATCTGTGAATGTCTTTTTAACACATACAAGTTCTTCTATAATATTTGTTCATTGGAGTTTGGGTTAGAAATCCTGAATGATCTCTCCAGCAACTGTTACACTGTTGAACCCAACAGTATCCTGGTATATCTTGGTTAAATATTTCATAATTGTACATAAATTTAATAACTAGGAAATTATGGGAAGACAAATGAAATTAAGCACGCTATTATGATATGTCCTATGGGAACACAAATGCTTATAGATATTCAGGATTTGTATAGTCATGTATTGTGAACAAAAATCAGTTTCTTTTTCCACTACTCTGAATTCTTTCATTTATATCTGACAGTGAATAACTGTTATGAGCTATTACTTTAGAAAATCCTGTATGAAGATCAAGTTGTAAACAGTAGTCATGAAAAATCAATAAAATTAATCGATCTTGTAACTATAATTTCAAGCTTGTCACTGTCTTCCCATGATGTTATGTCAAAATTGTCTGTCTCCTTTAAGTGAAGCATCATTGCTGCATCTTCTGGACTGGATCCATGACTTCCATTGTTCTTGTGCGTTATTGTAGTTAATTTTCTGTGCTAGAATCTAAATTTTGATGTGCTGATATATTTTTTAATTCAAATTAATATCCAGTAAATTTATAATTTTAATAACGTATTGTAAATAAAATTACAGCAAGTAACATAAGTAGATGCAGCTTCAGCCTTTATCTTGAAAAAGGAGATTTGATTGTGTCCAAATTAAAAGTAGATATATTTGTTTCTTGGGTTAGACCTGCAGAGCAATATCAACTAGCATGGAATGTATAAAAATAGAAATAACCATTACCTGTAATGTGAGCAAGCAGTATGTTTTAAAGTTTTATAAATGCTGTAGTGCAGATTGCTTGCCAGAAGAGACTCCTAGAGCTACAGAATCTGCTGTCACAGGTTGCTACAGTCTGTAAGGCTCACAGGTATAACATTACTGTAAGTTGAGCAAATGAGATATTTTAAATGTAGGGTTAGACTGGAAAGTGCAATATGAAGAATGTTACAAAAATGGATTTTACTGAATAAATAACGTGGGAGAAAAAGACATATTTATATTGGTTCAGTGTTATCAATAGGATATTTTGGCACTGAACATGTGTGTCTGTTGGTATCCAATGAATGTAATATAAGAGTCTTATGAAATGATTGACGATCATCTGTAATTGTTGTAAGGTTGCCTGTAGTTAGGGAAACCATCAGTGGCATTATTTTGCAGTGTGTTTTCAGAAATGATATGTTACAATGAATTTAGCAGTGGAGTGGATTTCAAGTTATGCTTACATGTGTGAGTGAAAATCAGAGGATGTGTGGTTGCATGTGTTGAATGTACTGGTGTGGCCTTGCCGAGAAGAATACATTGCTACAACATTTCAGTGTTTCAATACGTACATATATTTTATGCTCTCTTAGGTGAAATCGAGGTTTCATTTTTTGTTCATTTATTTGAGGACTGAGTTTAAATATGGATGAGAGTTAATAATAAAGATAGCAGATGGTTTTGCAAGATCTCATGTTTATAGCAAATAAAGATACAATGAAGAGGAGGCATTTGAGAAGTTGATACATGTTAAATAATCCACATGTCTGACAAGCATGAGAATGAAATCATATTGTTAAACAAGTATTTTTCATTTCATATGAATTTAAACATGACAAATTTGCCAGTCATTGTACAGTTTGACCAAAATATCTGGGGTCCAACACAAAGCCACATGTTGCAAAACATATATCACATATGTATTATGTTTAATTTTTATAACAAAATGAATTATAAAATATCAGACAAAAATATGATTTAATATATAGCTTTAATTATCAATTACCACATAAAATATACATTGTAATTATAAATTTATTCTTATATATTATACATATTAATTACACATATTGTACAGTGTATAAATTTCTAGACCAGTGTTTAGTGGGGAGGATGCCAGTGGCACACTTATTAGAGTGCGATGGATCTCAGAGCAATCCAAATGTCATTCAGACAGAAGGAAATCATTAGTACAATTCTGGCTCAATATGCAAGGTGAATAATTGATTATAGTTTGCCTTCTGATAGGTTAATGAGTTTTATTTTAGTTTTAAATGGGCAGCCATCAGTTTATAGCTGCATAAATATGCTCATCACTTGGCATGTGACAGTTTGTGTTCATTCCAGTGTAGAAGAGAATTAATGGAATAATATGTTATATTTGAATATACACCTGTTTGGGGGTGGATTTTTGCATCATAGTTGTTTGAAATGGGTACCTTTTTATTAGTTTATATCTGTGATATAGACATGGTCCTCTGTCCCTGATTGTAGAGGAGTTATGTAATAAGGCAGGTAGAATTAAAGTACTATACTGGTATACATTTTTAAAAAGTATTTTGTTTACTGGTATTTTTAGTAAAAAATATTACATTTTTAAAGTTTTAGTTTCATAAATACTGAACACAGTTCAATAAAGTATATATTTCTGCATGCAAGTACTTTTAAACACCTATTTGAGAGAAAATGTTTCATGATTTTTTATTGCTGTTATGATACCATATAGGTATATCTTTAAAACACAAGGATAAAAGGTAAAAAAGAAGGAGAAAGAGGCAAAGGTATCCCTGTAACAGGCGAGGAGGCCCATGGGGTTCTGAGCCGTTAAGGTATCCACATTTTCTAGACAGTTGGCTCACAGATGGCTGTGAGGTTATCGGCCTTGTTCAAATGAAACCCATTTGCTGTGATGCTAGTGAATATGGCTATTGCAAGTGAAGGAACTGGATGACTGTTCATTGGTCCTATTGGGATGGATTCTATGCCTGGAATGCTAACACTGAACTATGCCATAATATGCCCATTCTGTTGCACAGTCTATGAGTGACTGCTGATGGCCATATTTGCCAGCTGTGCTGCAGATAGATTTCATGCAAACAGCCTTTGTATGAAGTAATAATAACATCATGTTTTTGAAAGAGCTTTATCAGGATAGGGGAGATGGCAAATGCTTAATGTGATTATTAATTGTACAAAACACAAGTGATGCAAAAGTACACCATATTTTCTCATGAAGGAGTACATGATCTGGCTGTTTGGGTGTATGAAACAGTAATATATTAGTGATAGGCACCATAGGAAACTGATGTATGTGTCCACTTGAATGATATTGGCCAGAGGCTTTGTCCCCATCACTGTATGAGTGGTCCAAGCAATTGTTTCAGCTTAACAAGTGTGGTGTCTGTGAGTGCGATTTTGTGTGTGTACATGTGTGCGTGTGCATTCTGCATCAGCAGTGGCATAAAATGCTTTCTGAATGTCACTTTGTAATAGGTTTAAGGCATATAGTTTCTTCTTAAGTAATTAAACTTGCCTTTCAATATAGAAAATTAAAATGTGAAAACATGAGCCAGACAATGATCCATAGAGCTTTATTGCACACATCTGCAATTGGTTCAGTTGCCTGACCCTATTTAAAACAGACAATTTAAACAAGCAAGTCATGTACTAATATTGTAGTATGTTATCTCAGTAATGATTGAAATACAATGGCATATTTTATTTTAAAATATTGTTTAGAAACTAGCGTAGTTGAAAATGTGTTACTTTAAATGTTACATCCTTTGCAATAACGTTTTAGAATAAACTTTTTATAGACATTAGTAGAGGCTCTTATGTGCATTGAATTGGAAGAGCTAATTTGACTACAGACAAAACATGATTATGGTAATGCTCATATATTCAGGGAAACGGTTGGCAAAAATGTTTGAATGTAAATCCATGAGAGGATAAGAAATTGTTAGAGCAGCCTAAAGTTCTGTATTGCATTGAACTAGATTTTCATGAGCTGCTTATAATTCTGGTGCTTGACGTGTCACAATGGAAACATAAGGACTGCTGTTGACATTCAAAGATTTCTTTGAAGTCAAAGGACAGAAACACAAAGAAACTATGTAACATTGTAGTAACTGCCAGAAACTAGCTAAATGTTACAGAAATGCTAGCTGCCTGCCATCTGTGAATAAAAAGTAAAGAAAATGCTAGGGGTAATTGAAATTTGTAACTGGTGAGACTCATCATTGCCCTGCCTATCATGATTTTTGCCTGACATTGCCACACAGTAGGTTAAATAAAAGCATCCTTCAGAAGCACACATTGCAGAATGTCCATATTTATCAGTCTTAATTTGTGTGATCATGTTTCTTACCATTTTTCAATAATTCTACCAGCATAATAAACCAAGACTATTAAGACGTCCTTCAGTTCCTACCATAACTGCAGTGCTGAGCAAGCTGACTCCTCAGGCAGTGACGCTTCTTTCTAACTTGTATTCAGCAGGTGCCCAGTTTGAATTCCAGCTGGGAACCAACTGTCCTGTTTGAAGTTTTCATAGTTTTCCTCACTGCCTCCAATAAATTATGAGATACGAGGGTTGTACTGAAAGTCATGAGCAACAATTTTTTGTAAAGTAACATGCTTTATTATTGACAAACCAAATACACCACCTCAATCTACAGATCTTTCTTTATCGCCACTTCTTTGTACACATTTCTCCCAGGGTTCTGGGAGTTTGAAAATTCCCCTTCTGTAAAATTCCTTTCCAGCTATCCGAAGACACTGACACACTGCTTTCTGAATTGCTTCCCTTGTCTCAAAACGTTATCCACACAGCTGATCCTTCACAAATCCAAAAAGATGGTAGTTGGAGGGTGCAGATCAGGGCTATAGGAGGGGTGTGGAAGATCTTCCCACCCCATCTTTGCAATTGCATCCAATGTGAGGCGAGAGGCGTGGGGGCGAGCGTTGTCATGCAGGATGATGATGTTTCGTCCCAGACGTTTATCGCACAATGCATGACAGAGCTTGTGCAGCGTCTGGACATAACGAGCAGCATTGATGCTTTTTCCCTAGGTTCCAGGAATTCAGCCAGAATAAACCCCTCTGCATCCCAGAAGACTGTGCCCATCACCTTTGGAGCTGATGGCACCATCTTTGCCTTCTTTTTTGATGGAGAAT